AGAGTCCCTTGATGTTTATGTTTACAGAGTCCCTTGATGTTTGTGTTTACAGAGTCCCTTGACGTTTGTGTTTACAGAGTCCCTTGATGTTTATGTTTACAGAGTCCCTCGATGTTTGTGTTTACAGAGTCCCTTGATGTTTATGTTTACAGAGTCCCTTGATGTTTGTGTTTACAGAGTCCCTTGATGTTTATGTTTACAGAGTCCCTCGATGTTTGTGTTTACAGAGACCCTTGATGTTTGTGTTTACAGAGACCCTTGATGTTTATGTTTACAGAGTCCCTTGACGTTAGTGTTTACAGAGTCCCTCGATGTTTGTGTTTACAGAGTCCCTTGATGTTTGTGTTTACAGAGTCCCTTGATGTTTGTGTTTACAGAGTCCCTTGATGTTTGTGTTTACAGAGTCCCTTGATGTTTGTGTTTACAGAGTCCCTTGATGTTTGTGTTTACAGAGTCCCTTGATGTTTGTGTTTACAGAGTCCCTTGATGTTGTGTTTACAGAGTCCCTTGATGTTTGTGTTTACAGAGTCCCTACAGAGTCCCTTGATGTTTGTGTTTACAGAGTCCCTTGATGTTTGTGTTTACAGAGTCCCTTGATGTTTCTGTTTACAGAGTCGCTTGATGTTTGTGTTTACAGAGTCCCTTGATGTTTGTATTTACAGAGTCGCTTGATGTTCGTGTTTACAGAGTCCCTTGATGTTTGTGTTTACAGAGTCGCTTGATGTTTGTTTTTACAGAGTTCCTTAATGTCTGTGTTTACAGAGTCCCTTGATGCCTGTGTTTACAGAGTCCCTTGATGTTCGTGTTTACAGAGTCCCTTGATGTTTGTGTTTACAGAGTCCCTTGATGTTTGTGTTTACAGAGTCCCTTGATGTTTGTGTTTACAGAGTCCCTTGATGTTTGTGTTTACAGAGTCCCTTGATGTTTGTGTTTACAGAGTCCCTTGATGTTTGTGTTTACAGAGTCCCTTGATGTTTGTGTTTACAGAGTCCCTTGATGTTTGTTTACAGAGTCCATTACAGAGTCCCTTGATGTTTGTGTTTACAGAGTCCCTTGATGTTTGTGTTTACAGAGTCCCTTGATGTTTGTGTTTACAGAGTCCCTTGATGTTTGTGTTTACAGAGTCCCTTGATGTTTGTGTTTACAGAGTCCTTGATGTTTGTGTTTACAGAGTCCCTTGATGTTTGTGTTTACAGAGTTCCTTGATGTTTGTGTTTACAGAGTTCCTTGATGTTTGTGTTTACAGAGTTCCTTGATGTTTGTGTTTACAGAGTCCCTTGATGTTTGTGTATACAGAGTCCCTTGATGTTTGTGTTTACAGAGACCCTTGATGTTTGTGTTTACAGAGTTCCTTGATGTTTGTGTTTACAGAGTTCCTTGATGTTTGTGTTTACAGAGTTCCTTGATGTTTGTGTTTAGAGAGTCCCTTGATGTTTGTGTTTACAGAGTTCCTTGATGTTTGTGTTTACAGAGTCCATTGATGTTTGTGTTTACAGAGTTCCTTGATGTTTGTGTTTACAGAGTTCCTTGATGTTTGTGTTTACAGAGTCCCTTGATGTTTGTGTTTACAGAGTCCCTTGATGTTTGTGTTTACAGAGTCCCTTGATGTTTGTGTTTACAGAGTCCCTTGATGTTTGTGTTTACAGAGTCCCTTGATGTTTGTGTTTACAGAGTCCCTTGATGTTTGTGTTTACAGAGTCCCTTGATGTTTGTGTTTACAGAGTCCCTTGATGTTTGTGTTTACAGAGTCCCTTGATGTTTGTGTTTACAGAGTCCCTTGATGTTTGTGTTTACAGAGTCCCTTGATGTTTGTGTTTACAGAGTCCCTTGATGTTTGTGTTTACAGAGTCCCTTGATGTTTGTATTTACAGAGTCTCTTGATGTTTGTGTTTACAGAGTCCCTTGATGTTTGTGTTTACAGATTTCCTTGATGTTTGTGTTTACAGAGTCCCTTGATGTTTGTGTTTACAGAGTCCCTTGATGTTTGTATTTACAGAGTCCCTTGATGTTTGTGTTTACAGAGTCCCTTGATGTTTGTGTTTACAGAGTCCCTTGATGTTTGTGTTTACAGAGTCCCTTGATGTTTGTGTTTACCGAGTCCCTTGATGTTTGTGTTTACAGAGTCCCTTGATGTTTGTGTTTACAGAGTCCCTTGATGTTTGTGTTTACAGAGTCCCTTGATGTTTGTGTTTACAGAGTCCCTTGATGTTTGTGTTTACAGAGTCCCTTGATGTTTGTGTTTACAGAGTCCCTTGATGTTTGTGTTTACAGAGTCCCTTGATGTTTGTGTTTACAGAGTCCCTTGATGTTTGTGTTTACAGAGTCCCTTGATGTTTGTGTTTACAGAGTCCCTTGATGTTTGTGTTTACAGAGTCCCTTGATGTTTGTGTTAACAGAGTCCCTTGATGTTTGTGTTTACAGAGTCCCTTGATGTTTGTGTTCACAGAGTCCCTTGATGTTTGTGTTTACAGAGTCCCTTGATGTTTGTGTTCACAGAGTCCCTTGATGTTTGTATTCACAGAGTCCCTTGATGTTTGTGTTTACAGAGTCCCTTGATGTTTGTGTTTACAAGGGGAGTCCCTTTTGATGTTTGTGTTTACAAGAATCCCTTGATGTTTGTGTTTACAGGAGTCCCTTGATGTTTGTGTTTACAAGAGTCCTTGATGTTTGTGTTTACAGAGTCCCTTGATGTTTGTGTTTACAGAGTACCTTGATGTTTTGTGTTTACAAGTCCCTTGATGTTTGTGTTTACAAGAGTCCCTTGATGTTTGTGTTTTACCAGGGGAGTCCTTGATGTTTGTGTTTACAGAGTCCCTTGATGTTTGTGTTTACAGGAGTCCCTTGATGTTTGTGTTTACGAGTCCCTTGATGTTTTGTGTTTACAGTCCTTGATGTTTTTGTGTTTACCAGAGTCCTTGATGTTTGTGTTTACAGAATCCTTGATGTTTGTGTTTACAGAAGTTCCTTGATGTTTGTTTAGAGTTCCTTGATGTTTGTGTTTACAAGAGTCCCTTGATGTTTGTGTTTACAGAGTCCCTTGATGTTTGTGTTTACAGAGTCCCTTGATGATTGTGTTTACAGAGTCCCTTGATGTTTGTGTTTACAGAGTCCCTTGATGTTTGTGTTTACAGTTTTGATGTTTGTGTTTACAAGGGACTTTGATGCTTATGTTTATAGTCAGTGGACTCTATACATTATGCACTGTATAACATTTCCATCAACTGTGACTTCAATCAGTAAACATTATTCAAGAAACAGAAACATAAATTTATTTCCTAATCATATCAACATTCAGTAAAACACTCTAACATAAAACCACTCAGTAAACTCTTTAAATTACAACATGAACTTTGAAATCGTAAAATATAATTAAATATATTGTTAACTATCATTTATACTGTACAGGCATGGAAACCTTCCCTCCTGAGGACCTTAGTACTGACACCTATTCAGACGAGACACAATAGGGCGGATCTCAGACAATTAAAATCTTGAGAGAGATGGTAAACATAAACCCAGGCTATTTTTGTCATGATGTCAGGCACCACCAACACAAAGGGACATACTGTAACTTCAAACTCACCAAGGTGTCATGCAGGACGAATTTAAGGAAATACTTCTTCACACAAAGGGTGGTAGACCTAAGGAATAGTCTACCAGCTCAAGCTGTGGAAGCAGGAACAGCACTGGGCTTGGGAGTAGCCCTAGACAAGACTATCAAAAACAGTGGGCCTCCTTACCTCAGCATGGCCACCTCAAATGAGTGGCCATTAGGTTAAACATTTTGATAGCCACATTGGCAAGTTATAATCCATGTTAACATAAAGATATTTCAGCAGCTCGTGAAGACTGTTAGTTCTTCATTAATCTGATCCCCATAATGATATTCATATCTAATTTTCACCTCACCGTGACCAAGGGCATTACTGTATCATCAGTGTGTGTGTGTGTGTTATCCCCAGAACTTGTCAACTCAGGTAATCTTACTCTTGATGGATTGACATGAAACGTGGTAGACGTCATTACTGTATCATAATTTAGAGATACATGTATTGCAATACCTCTGGGGGTCACAGGTCAAGGTCAATGTTTTTTATGCAATTTTCAAAACCACATTATCACATGTTAATATTGATCATATTAAGCTTCTTTTTTACCCATTTATTAACTTCAAACACTGGAAAAATGAACATCAACATTATAGGCAATTTAATACAATTGTTTATGAACATTGCTGAAGTTGCTCTCTCTCTCTCTCTACAAAGATAAATAATATGATAAAAGAAAGAAAAGAATATCACAATAATAACAAAAACAACAATAAAAACTACAAAAGAAATAAAAATAATGAGTGGAGAAGACGACGGCGATGAAGATTGAACTAAAGAAAGAAAAATCACATTTACAAACAAGAGATAATGAAGGTGAGAGGTGTGGAGGGAGGCTGGGGTCGAGGGGCAGGGAGAAGCTACCTGTTGACACCCCCTCTCTCCTCCCACCAAACAACTGGCTGCATTATCATTCCATCTATATCCCCTAATTCTCTTTGCCACTGATCGACCTGTTACCCTGGGTGATTGGCGGTCTGTTACACACTGTTGATAATGTAGTGGATTTCTCCCCTACAAACACTGTTTGTCGCTGAGTAGCCGACTCCACGAATTCCCCAGTGTATGCCTCGTGGTCTAGGTCAACCAGCGCCGCCTTACATGACGGAGGTCAACCATTAAGCCACGCCTACCCTCTGCTCTTTAAGACCTGACCTCGTGGTGACCACCCTTTTTCTACCTACACCAACCAGCCAGCAACACCTCCTCCTCCTGCCTGGCGGTCCTCGCTCCCGCCGGCGAGCATGGCGACCCACAAGCTGTCCTCCTCTGAGCATCCTCACCAACCAGCTCTCTACATCACGCTTGTAACCATGCTGCCTTCCCAGCACCAAGCTGCATTGTACATCCAATACAACATGTATACAGAGAGCACATTGTGAGTTTCCTTTCTCCATCCCATCCTGAGTGAGAACCAAACATCTCGTACCCCACAATAAATACTGGACATACACTGGATCTAAATGATGATAGTGGTGACAGAATAAGATGTTACGATGACATGGTTAGTGACAACATTACAAAGAACGTAGGCTGTGAGTGTGTCTCGTAACTAAGAGAAGTCGAGACACATTACAAACTAGACCTGAGACATTCCCTGATTGATGGTAATGATGATGGTCCGGTCGGGCTGGCAGGTGCTCACGTACAGTTTGTTGTTTTGCCGGTAGATGTACACTTCGTTGCTCTCCGCTCCCATCTCCATAATGCCTACTTGCTCCTCCAAGGCACGCAATGATGTCATCTGCAACAGTAAACACAACTTGCTAGTTCACAGTGTCCCTGTATTAAGAATCTCTTTATCCAAGTCATTCAAAACTAATATTATAAGCTCTTTATCTTGACAAGTGATTTTTTTTATGAGTATGAATGTTTTTTAAAAGAATCTTAAGTAATCTGTTACATGATATCATATTTCTGATAAAGTAATAAGATATCTGGATATATAGTTCAGTGTTAAATCAAGGAAAGTATTAAAATCACCTTAAGATTAGCTCCTTCCCCCCAGCTTATTGCACCAAAAGATTTACCAACTTAATGATACTTTTGAGGGTATAAGATGAGGTTAGGTTGATTGATCTTCAGGTGATCTGTGAGAGAGAAGAGAAGAGAAGAGAGATCTGCGCCACTTACCCTGTGTGAGAGTGCAATAGCTCGTTGTCTAGGGTCATTGTTGGCAGGTTCATCAGCTCCATCACACAGCTGGTCCTTCACCTCCTGCACCTCCTGCCGTGACTTCCACAGGTGTCTGAAAGTTACAACACCTTATGTTCCGCATAACACAAGTAAATATGTAGAGAAGATGAGTGAGGACAGGAACTAAAATTAAAATAACTAGAAATACACCAATCAAGAGACGGAGATTTGGCCAATTGGAACATGGCTTAAAATAAAATTATACCGTATACCTGTATTTTGTTCTTTAGAAAGCATTTTAAGGATGGTAAATTTTAAATCCATACAGAGGTTTTGTTAATGTTCTTTGATCTAATTTGATACACTGGAGGTTTTGTTGAAGCTCTGAACACACTTAAAAACCAATCAAAGCCTCTGTTGAGGCTCTGAACCCACCTGGAGGCTTTATTGAGGCTTGTGAAGACGACCTTGACATCTTCGTCAGTACTGTCGAGGTAACTGGAGTATGTGTTGATGCGTCGCTCTACCCTTCTCTGTAGCTCTGCCAGAGATACTCCCAGAGTCTCCACCCACTGTAACCATGAGGTCAGAGTCTCAACAACAACAATTTAATCAAGAAAAGAAACTTCAGCTTCTTATAAATATGTTTGCATAATTCATAATACAGTAGTACATATAAAAAGTTTAAATAATCTTCATTACTCTACGACTAAAGTTCTAATCTCACTGCTGAAGCCAGAAGCACCTGTATCCTCATCTGTGACTTGTGGCTTTACTTATGACATTACCTGTGCTATAGGAGTCCACCTGTAACTCACCTGTTGTATGGGTGAGAGTTCGTGTGAGGTACAGTGATCCCGGGCAGGAACATCACAAGTTATACACCAAAACTCTTCGACTTTTAAGTCAGGGGCGATGGATGGTGGGACGGCCTTGTTGGGTGGCTTGGTGGTGGCGGGCAGTTCACTTTGTTTTTCAGGCTTCCTTAATATTTCGAGACGGGCCAAGTCTCTTAGGTGAGCCACGACGTACCTGGGGAAAGTAAGGATAGAGAAATTGATTTGAGAGAGAGAGAGAAACATGAAGAAAAAAGAGAACAGGAGAGAGAAGATGAATTCAGAAAGATTGACAAAGAGAGACGGAGAAAAAGAATAAAGGACAAAGAGGAAGAATTTTACAAAGATTACCAAAACTTGACATAGTAAATAATGGGGGGAGAGCTCACCTGTTGGTCTGCAGTTGAGAGGTGTTGATGAGGGTGCGACAGAGAGGACACTGAACCACCTCGTTCCTGGGAATCTTGGGCTCCTTCTGGTCAATCACAGCTGGTTTGGGCTTAAGAGGAGGAATATTCGGTTTCTTCTGGGGTCTCTCTGGGGCAGGTGGACCCCCCTGGCCAGAGTTTCGGGCAGGGAGGGCAGGAGGGGAGGTGGGTGAGGGCAGGGGAGGAGGCGTTGGGGCATGCCGGGGAATAGGCGTGGGGAAGGACAGAGGACGGGTCGTGGGGACAGTGGGCGTGCAAGGCAGGGGGTCGCATGGGTGGCGTGTGAGGGTGGTGGAGGGACCGTGACCTGACATGCGTCTCAGGGTGGGATGAGCCCTGTTGTTCTGTAGCGTGTTGGTGATGGCGCTGACATTGCTGTGGCGTCTTTGGTCATACTTGGAGCTGTTGCTGCTGGGAACATCCTGCTGAGAGAGGAGAGTCATTGTCACTCTGTATTAAAAAGTAGTACCACAGAGTGAACAGTTGGGTGTGTCTACAGCCCTTCCTGGGGGGACTTCTCACCTATGGTACTTCCCCAAGTCGTCACCACAAGGACTGTGGTCCCACATTTCATACATCTAAGTTACAGGTCTGAAAGGGTCCCTGCTCAAATAAGTTCAAACAAAACCTAACTAATCATTAGAAGTGGAGCCCAGTGCTAATGGGCGCCAGTGTTAATAAACTCCTGAGGCCAGACCAAATATACCTTCACCCTAATGGGCATCAGTCCTAAAAGAGAGGTTACACAAGGTTAGGTTAGATTAGGTTATGTCATGTTAGGATAGGTTACGATACATCATGTTAGGACAGGTTACGTTAAGTTAGGCTATGTTACATTATGTTAGGATAGGTTAAGTTAGGTTAGCTTAGCTTCGGATAAGTTATGCTCGAGTCTATGAAAATTGGGACCCATTAGATGTACAGCCCTTCCTCACCTCTTGCTGGGGAGTGGGGTCATCGTAGACGTGGTTATCGTGTTCCTGGGAGCTGAGGACCTGGGTCGACCCTCTGCCTAGGAGACTGTACAGACCTCGGATGGGGTTAGTTGGTCTTGTTCCTGCTGCTGGTGCCGGAGCCTTTGAGCGTGAGAGTGGCAGTGAGAGAGAGAGAGAGAGAGAGAG